TCCTTGGTAAGATTTTAAATGATGCTATCATTTATTAATAAATTTTTCATTTGAATACATCTTGTTTTGCGCTGATCTGTCTTAGAGGCTGAACCAAGTTAAATTTTACCAGTAACTTTATTTTTTTACCTGCCACAGACTGTACGTTCACTCAAATATAAATTAATATCAATAGCAAAGTCACGTCTGCAAAGCAAAGTGACCGCATATTGCAATGTAAACGTCTGTCATCTACTTTTAGTAGTTTACTTCTTCTTTTTTAACTCGATTCAACTGGGCACTGGATGTGAGTATTTCGTATTGCATATATAATGAATACAATTGTATTTATTTAATATTAAGATACCCGTATTGTACGATTTTTAGACGATATTTTTAAGATTTGAGGAGTTCGAGTGTAAACATACGTTTTATCAAGCAAATTCAAGTACTGGCCAGTTTGCTTGACGGATCCGCCCGCGGTCCGTTGTTTGGAGACCCTTGCTTTAAGGCAAGAAGAAAATATAGTCAGCGACCGAAATAGCAGCAATAAAGATAAAATAAAACAAGTTCTTGAATGTGTCATGAAGACAAAGGGAAGTAAATCTGATTAAGTTTTTTACAGCCTTTAAATTGTTTTACAAGGACTGCGACTAGTAGATAATTAACTGTGACAGTTTTCAATGTAATTTCATGGTCAATAAATTGTACAAACACTTTTCGAGTTTTTATTTTATACACAGTAAATCTATGCCTTCAGGGGATAATTTGCGACCATAAATCGGCTCCCTTTATAGTGAGTGTGTGGGGTAGAGCTACTACATTTTTTCATCCAATATCCGAATGTTGCCTATACCCACCAGTACTAAAGAATTCCATTGGCAACCATGACACTTGACGGCGTGCACATTCCACGCAGCCTCAGATTAGACTTGTTTGTTGATGAATAAAGTTGACAAATTTAAAGCGAATACACCGTACTTTTTTGCTCAGTACTTTATACTCCGTGCTTTATACACTGTACTTAATGCACCGTACTTTCTACACCGTACTTTTAACCCCGTATTTTATGCAACGTACATTTTTCACTTTTTCTTCAAGTTATTTTCTTTTTTCATGGGCAAATTTTTTGTTCATGGCCGAACGATGTTATGTAAGAATTCGTGTTATGTGGTACATCCAAATTTTTGCTTTAAACAAAAGTCGCATGACCATGGGCTCCGTTTTCTTTTTTCCATTTATGTTGATATCTAAATCATGCTTGATTTTCATGAAAGTAATACAATAACTTGAGTATGGGCTTTTAAAACAGACCCAATAATATTATATTAAAACAAATAGACTGATAGATTTGTTTCTTTCTTTTCACGTTATTTTCATCCACTTATTGTTTACTTAGCAACACATTGACAGCCAGAAATGGTATGAGATTGGAAATGATTTGTAACAAAACATTTAGCGCTTTTCGCTACGGAAATTTTTTTTTCCTTTCATGGTCGTTCCCAAAGGAGATTAATAAGATAACGTTAAAATTCTATAGTATTGCCATGTGTATGCATAGGCAGAGAACATCATGTACATGTAACTTCGTCTTAATTTTTTTTGACATTTCAGGTTTCGTTGATTTAATATCACTTAACATCAGTGTCTGTGACAGATGTACTGTTCAAGGTAATAAGTTTTATCATATCATCTTGAATGTTATTTGTGTTATCAAACATATCATAAATGAATCATTCGACTTTTCAGAAATCTATTTCTACATTTAAAACTTTGAAATCCTTTCAATCTCCAAACTAATCAAGGCTCTGAAATATTTTTCCAGGTACCAAATATATATGTTTTCAAAGAAATAAAATAAATTTTCACAAGGACTCATGAATATTATCCAAACATATTCTTACAAAATTAATCTTGCATGGGTTGCCATAATTATGACATATTCAAAAAAATTTTTTTTACAATTAATCATGAAGCTTTAATATTTATTGTAATTTGAACGACATTTTATTTAAGGAGATAATTTTTATTTCTATATCTCATATATCAAGAAAGTAGTTGTGTTATTAAAAAAGGCAAGTAAAAGTCCTTTTTTTTGCTGCAATTAGATTTGTTATTGAAAATTAGCTCATGTTAAACTTTCATTTAAAGGTGCAGGCAAATGATACAGAATACATCAGATGTGACCGTTTATTTTTTTATCATAATTCAGAATGAATGCACACACCGCATTGCACACAAAACTCTATTGAGCGTATAAGAAGCTTAGTCAGGGAAAGTAGATTCTGACTGGGGTTTTAAAAAAAAATGTAATAATCAGATGTAGTTACATAAATCAAATTGCTTTATAAGATTTGTGAAGCCTTTTGGAAAGTGTAATTATTAGATTTATGCAGAGAAGGGAAAAAAATGATGTTTTAATGTTGAAATTAGACATTTTTAAAAACAATTTGTTTCTGATTTTATTGATTAAGGATGATTGGTCAGGATTCATAAAAGTGGTTTTATGCATGTGCAACAAAGATGTGTTGATTAAAATATAAATGACAAATTAAAAAAAAAAAAAAAGAAATGTTTATAAAGAACGACTCTTCGTTGCTTTCCTAGCCATGACAAGTTGAAATTTATTAAAATTTCTAAAAACTTCAACGTAAATAGTATCCATGAGACGAGTATTGAACTGTGTTGTGCATGTTAGTTGGGTATTTCAAATTTGGAATATGCTAATTGGTCATTTGGTTAGCTATAAAAAAAAGGACTCATAATATTTAGTTCCCTGTAACCTTGACCCATTAGCTTGTTAGTACTCTACGTCCTATTATGCTCACAATGACATAATGATTATAGTCTTTAGCTAATCGTTTTCACTAAATCATGCACGAATTAGCTCACTTGCTAGCTGTGATATAGGCCCTTTGCGCAAAGCATTGATTATTTAATATTAATGCCATCTTTCTTTTTGTTACAATGTTGTAAATTCTCGAGTTTCTGAGGTACATTATGGAGTTTCTGAGGTACATTCTTGAGTTTCTAATGTAGATTCTGGAGATTCTAAGATACATTCTGGATTTTCTGAGGTACATTCTAAATTTTCTACCTTTCATTTTGAAGTTTCTGGTGTACATTATGAAGTTTGTGCCTTTCATTCTGGAGTTTCTGCATTTCAACCTGGAATTTCTGCATTTCATTTTGGTTTTTAATTCTTTCTTTCTGGAGTTTCTGCCTTTATTTCTATAAATAGTGCTATTACGCTCTGTAGTTTTTCCTTACATTCTGGAATTTAAAGGGTATTTTCCGTAGTTTTTTTATATAAATTCTGGTGTTTTTGAGGTACATTTTGGAGTTTCTGAGGTATATTCTGGAAATTCTGAGGCACATTCCGGAGATTCTAAAGTATATCCTTGAGTTTCTGAGGTACATTATGGAGTTTCTGAAGTATATTCCGGAGATTCTGAAGTACATTCTGGAGGTTCTGATATGTAATCCAGAGATTCTGAGGTACCTTCTGGAGATTCTGAGGTACATTCTGGAGATTCTGAAGTACATTCTCGAGAGTCTGAGGTGGAATTTCTGTCTTTCATTCTGGAGCTTATTAAAACAACAACATCATCAACACCTGGCACAGAAACATTGCAAATCCCCTTTACATGCATATGAGACAAAATGATCAATAAATTGATCGTGGGTCCTTATATATAGAAGAAGAAGAAGAACAAGCATCTCGGTGAAGATTCAATTCAAAGTCCCACAAGCTATCTATGTGTGTGAATTCAAAGTCATCAGATGTAGATTTCGTGACCAGCCAAATATTTCCATTTTTCTGAAGTAGATAAAAATATTTTCAAGTTTGGAAACTGGTCATTTTTTCTTCAGGGCCATCGATTTCTGGAAGGTTAACAATTCCATTAATACCTGGTGTGCACATTCTGATACCAGAAATAGCTATTGATTTGTAAAATATGAAAATATAATCCTCAAAAATAATCGAAAATGTTGGGGGAAACCCCAGAGTTAATGAAACCAAGAGACTTCATCTAATTTTCGAGCAACTGTTATGTCCGCATTTGATGTATCAATACAGATGATATTATCATTGTAATTAAGCAGGAATGTGTTACCCAAATCTTCAGATTTTCCTAAATGAGTGATGGTCTTGTCCTGCATGTTATATAAACTGAAATTTTTAAAAGTCGCGTTTCTGAAGCTTCGGTGGTTATCGGTCAGTACGCTTTCCTCTTTTGTGTTAGTGAAACAAAAATCAGAGTTTATCGCATTAAGCCCAACAAATCCAGAAAAAGTTTCCTTTGTAAATCTCAGATCAACTAGAGTGCAAGTTCTTTTTAAGGTTTCATATAATAAAACTTGACTGTTATATACAAAAGCCACCCCATTGATGATAACAATACTTTATCTGTATCTCACGTTTATATTTCTGTTATTGAATGCCTTATATTTATACAACAAGGCTTCATACACAATATTCATGGCTTCTGGTTTGGAGGTTATCACTGAATTTCTCGTCAGATTTTCAAGTCACCGGCAACTTACCAAAAATTCAAGCTGACCTCAGTAATTGTACTACATGGTTTCCTCAATCGTATATTTCAGTATAATTTAACCCCCTTCCTTTTCTTTCTGCTCTGATGTTTTGTTCAGCATCCTTTGCATCTCTCAGTAACTTTGGCTCCTGGAGTTGTTGTGTTTCACACTTGTCTACCAATACAAGGTTGTCATTCTCTTCAATACAGGAACTAACAGATTTAGCAATATCATTTGAACTGGAAATAACACCTGGTTTGTTGCAAACATTGACTTCAATGATATGTTTATTTGAATTGCTTTCAATTTCCTCCTCATTGTTTTGTTCATCTAATTGGCTGTATGTACTGTCATAAATTATTTTGTTCATTTGATTGCTTGTTTGTACCATCATCATTGTTAAGTTTACTTAGATATTCTTGATTGCTATAGAAATCGGCAATTATTCCATCGACCAGCCCACCAACATCGTTATGTTTGTAATTGATCCACTGAAGAATCGATTCAATAACAACATCTTCGGAATCTACTTTAAGGAAGTGACTGTCTACTATGTTACAGATCTCATCAGCAGATAGTTCAAAGAATGTCTTTGTATCCTTAATATTTTGGAAATGTGTAATCATATAATTATGTGAATTTTTCACAACATATTTAGATTCTAACAAATTTGCATTTTCATAACAGATTTCAAAATTAGTTAATGAAACATCTTTACTTAAAAAATACACATTTCTATAAGAAATGAAATGTCCAAAAAACAGATTGCTTGCCACACCTGTATAATATTTTCCTTCGTCAAACCATTTTCAACTTTATAAACAGCATTGATGACGACAGCAAACGTTTCTTTGCTCATAGACTTCAGCACAGCCCGATTCTCTAAGCTTTCCCTCATCTCAGCCCGTAGAAGTCCGTTAAAGAAACTAGAGCAAGCGCTTAGAATAAATTTATGACAGTGGAACTCCATGTCCTCTACAACAACTGTAAAGTCACTAAAATCATCGTGTGTCCATTTTTGTCCAATACAATTCTGAACTCCTTCAGCCACGGATGATTTGAAGTGTCCAAAATAGAAACTCATTTTTGATTAGTTAGTGGCGTGTGTAGTCAAAATAGTATATCAGTTTAATAGGGATGTTTATCGATTTGTTCAAATTTTTTCTAAGCACTATGCTAACGCATCTCATGTGTCACTAAGGTAGACGTATGAATCCACTCGTCCATGACGTTGTTTTAAAATGAAAAGTGTCATTTTTTAACATTTATTTTATATAGAGATAAACGTGCCGATTCTTTGATGTAGGTTTCATTTTGATGCCATGCGTCTTGCGATATGCCCCCCCTGCAGAAAGAGATATGAATGAACGCATCAATTTGAAATAAAAGACTTAGGCAATAGGATGTTAGTTTTGTTTTTTTGTGTTTATTTGGTGTGCTGTGTTAGGAGACGCGCTATAATAATATCACGTATCATGCTCAGTCAAGTAGACATGGCAATACCGCGTACGCTCTGTTAAATTACAGTTATAGTCCTGTTCCTGTCTTAATAATTAATTAATGAAAATATGTATCGTGGTTGCAGTAGTCGTGCAGAAAAAAATAATGATTTTTTTACATCAAGGAAAATACTTACTTCGTATAAATTTTTACAGAGGAAAATTCTTACGTCGTGACATTCTAACAAGCCTTTATGGCACTAGATGGCGTTTCAAGAGAAGACACGATTTTCAGTTTCGGTTTCTTGGAATGCTGATCTGCATTGATTTCCAATATAAAGCAGTGATGTGAGATTCTATTTTTTAGAGTTGATAAAAAGACTACTAATTGGCTTAATAAAATAGGTTCGCCACTAGATGCCAGACTAAACACTGTTGGTTACGCCTTCTATTCAGTCAATAATTATTTTAGTAAAATAAATGTAATAAAATTTAGAGATCTGTTGTAATCCCTTGCAGCACGGGGATCTTAAACTTTCATGCATGGCCTTAACTCCAATTGGTTTCATAAGGATCCGTGAAGTCATTGTGTAGGTGTACATCTTCTAAAAGCTCTCCACAAAACTAAACTATGTAAAGTATGTTCTTATCTCCAGATCTCCCGTCGTATGATGAACATAAAACATTGCATCACTCAACCCGTTCATATGACGGTGATAACATTACATCATTTAATCACTTCGTTTCTGGATTAAACCCTTTAAAAAATCAAATGAGTCTAGCTTATGAAATTAAACTGGTATTATTATATTTATAAATATATGCCTTAGAATTAGACTGGGTTCTGGATGGTGACACACATCATATGTACAATTTCTCACACATATAAGTTTTAAAAAAAACAATACAACCGGCTTTGCTGTGGTTTGTACTAGGAAAAAAACCAACTACAAAACCATTTTTTTTTTTGCAATATAAGGGATCGAAATTCAATGTTTACAATCATCAATCATCATCAATGGCACTACAGCCCATGTAGGGCCCTGGCCTGCTCCACCACATCCTTCCATTCGGAGCGATCCATGGCTTTCCGTCTCCATGCTCGAACCCCGAACTGGTGTAAATCTGTCTCCACATCATCAATCAACCTCGTCCTTGGGCGACCGATGAGTCGTCTGCCCCTAGGCTTCTGCCTGTATAATATATTTTTGGCTGCTCTGCATTCCGGCATCCTTTCAACATGACCTGCCCAGCGTAGTCTGCCTTTTTATCATTTTGACTATGGGTGGTTCTTTGTACAAATAGTAAAGTTCTTGGTTTGTACGTATTCTCCAGGTATCATTTTTTTATCACTGGTCCGTATATTTGGCGGAGGATTTTCCTCTCCAATGTGTTGAGCAGATTCTCTGCTTTTCTGGTGAGGGTCCAGGTCTCACTGACGTACGTTACTACATGTCTTATGATGGTGGTGTATGTTGTCTTCTTTGTTCTCCTTGATAAGTTTTTGTTTCCCAGTAGCTTTTGTAGACTGAAATAGGAACGGTTGCCTGCTGTTATCCTTTTTTTCACCTCCGACATTATCTCATTGTGGTCATTTATAGTTGCCCCCTAGATATTTGAATGTGTCGACTCTCTCAAATTTGTGGTTGTTTATTGATGTTATCATCAGCATGGGAGTTTCTTGACATTATCATATATTTTGTTTTCGGTTCATTTATATCAAGGCCAGTTTTGAATGAGGCATTTTAAAGTTCCCTGAATGCTTTAATTATGTCATTACGGTTTCTACCCAGTAGTGCTATATCATCTGCATATGCCAGGTATTGCAATGGTTGGCTATATAAGGTTCCTGATGTTCGTTGCTCTGTAGTATCTCTCTGGAAATAGTTTGTTATGGTTCCTAATGTGCTAATGTGAATGTTTCTAATAACTTTTTCTAGCGTGATGTTAAACAGGATACATGATAGGGAGTCTCCTTGTTTGAGGCCCCGATTAACAATGAACTCCCTAGAATATTCTCCCTGAACCTTGATTCTGCTTTTGGAGTTGGCCATTGTCATGTGTATGAGCCGAGTAAGCTTGTTAGGGACTCCAAGTTGTATAAGTAATTCCTGTTTACGCTATCGTATGCTGTTTTCTAATCCACATATAGTTGGTGTATGTCGATGTTATATTCGTAGCATTTCTCCAGGAGACATCTTATAGTAAAAATATGATCCGTGGTTGACCTATTCTGCCGGAATCCACATTGATAGTCCCCTAGGATCTACTCACTATACTTTTCCAATTTTCTCGCTATAAGTTTTGTGAGGATTTTGTACATTACATTAAGAAGGGAGATACCTCTATATTTTGAGCATATCAACTTAGATCCCTTTTTGTGGATTGGGATTATGAGTGCCGTGTCCCATTCAGTTGGCATTTCTTCCTCCTGCCAGATTTTGGTTATAAATTCGTGTATTTGCCTATGCAGTTCGCTACCACCTAGCTTTATGAGTTCTGCAGGGATAAGGTCTATTCCTGGGGCTTTGTTATTTTTCATGGTGGAGATAACATCTTTTATTTCATTTAAAGTTGGTTGGTTGATCAGTGGGTCCGGTGCTCCTTGTGGCGGGGCGTAATCCTCATTGGTTCCTCCACCTGAGCCATTTAATAAGCCTTCAAAGTGTTGTGCCCATCTCTTCCGTACTCTATTGCTCTCTGTGATTACTTCTCCATCCGTGATTTCAATGTTTACAAGCATTGTCATAAATCTGATATTTAAAGGAATTTAAAAAAAAATAATAACTTAACTTTGTCTTAGTGGTTTTGACTACGTGTTTGCTTGTAACACCGTATGAGATATTTAACAAATACAAACCTGATCAAAGCCATATATATAGGCTAGTTGGATTACATTTAATACGTAAATTATTTTGTAAACCCTATTAATGATATCAATAACAGAGGCACAATCTACAGAACATTATTTTGATTTTGAAGAAAACTTCATCGTCTGATATTTCGGAAAAAAATGAATTAGAAAATATGCACATTATTTTGTTTATAACTAGTTACTATAAGCTCTATGTGTTTTAGGACAGGCTGAAGTATGTTTGTGGGGGCTAGTTCATTAGGAAAGGTAACTCATGTTTCAGGTGTACAGTTGTGAGAAGAATGCTGATTCCCTGATAGCTGCGCTTGAGCAAGGCGAGGTGCTTGGCATTAAAATTCCGCGCTATCAGTTAAACAAATGACATATTTAGATAATATAGCCAAGTTGTTGTTTTTTTTTGTTTGTTTGTTTTTTTTTGTTTTTTTAGGAAACTGGGGATTATTGGTCTACTATAAAAAAGTAAACAATACAGACGAGATTGGGTCTACTTTTTATTTATCACAACATTTGCTGTCAACAAAAATTAGCTAATTTCAGTCCATGACGATTATAGCATTCACTATTGTAGTTTATATTGTATCTTCCTTATTGTTTTTTTAAATATAAAAACAAACTGTCTATACCCCGACTGGTGTTTGAGATCATGTTTTTAGCTGGACATTTCTAGTATAAAATGAAATGCAGGATCGTATTTAGTTCTTATCGTGAGTTCTGAGTTTTAGTCGATGTATTCTAAGGTCTAAATTTTATTGGATGATGGTGCAGGCATATGACGATAAAAAAGTGATGACACAATATGTTGGCTGCCTGGTGAGCTCATGGTATATACCTGCAGTGTCAGCCATCTGACCTAGCACTCATAGTGTACGCCTGCGATGTCAGCCATCTGACCGGTGAACTCATGGTGTATTCCTGCAGTGTCAGCCATCTGACCTGGTACTCACGGTGTAAGCATACGATGTCAGCCATCTGACTGGTGAACTCATGGTGTATTCCTGCAGTGTCAGCCATCTGACCTGGTACTCACGGTGTACGCCTGTGATGTCAGCCATTTGACTGGGTAACTCATGGTGTATTCCTGCAGTGTCAGCCATCTGACCTGGTACTCACGGTGTACGCCTGCGATGTCAGCCATTTGACTGGGTAACTCATGGTGTATTCCTGCAGTGTCAACCATCGGGTGCTATCATGCAGTTTGGGATTCCCGTGGCGCCTACAAAAAATTATCTTCAGTAACATTACCTTATTCGGTTATAAGTTATGGAAACTCAAAAACTGCTCTGTGCTAGTGATTTCACCAGAAGCGTGTCTCGCATTCTTCTTCTATCACAAAAGTTCTCCTTGGTTTGGTGTGTACTATGTACATAAATATATGTTTTTGCGCGTGTGCGTGTATTTTTTATAAAAGAAATATATTTGCAAATAATTGTTTGTCACAAGTTCGCGGTGGAGATTTTTTGCTAAGTTTTGAATCGAGATCCTCCCCATAGATTCCCTGACCCGGAGAGACATCAGAGAATAGCACGACTGATAAAACCAATGCTCTTCTGCTCATCATTGGAATTATATATTAGCTATATCTACCAAAATGCATTAAAAAACATTTACAGAATGGAAAAACGCTGCCACCTAACTAAATTCATTAAAAAGTTTAAAATGTTTAAAATACGAAATAGGACGCTCTCAGCAGATTTCAAGATTATATAATAAATTGATGCATCGCCTGCTTTTATCCCCAACACCCATTTC